CGTCCGTCGCCTTGTTCTTTTTCTGCCTTTGTGATCTTCTTCTAGTATCTTATCATCAAAGCCAGTCAGTTCAATGGTTTCAGACTGACTTGTGGGTCCAGCTGAGAACCATTCTGGTTCTTCTTCAGTGTATGAATCATTTCTTCTACGCTCGCCAAAGACACGCTTACTATCACCAAACTCCCTCCTGAAACGCTTGTCCTTGTAGTCCGTCTCTCGATCTCTCTCTCTCAAGTCCCGCAGGACTTTATCACTAAGACGATGATCCTTTTCAAAGTTCCGGGCAGAGATGATCCTCCCACTGCCAACTCTTCGTCCACCTAGCAGGCGAAGCCCATCATTGTCTTCTTCCAATGGACTTCCTGAGCGGTGGGAGCTAACAGCAGCTGTCACATGGCAGCCCCCTCCAAAGCTCCGTCTCTGTGGGCTGAGAACAACATCCAAGTCATCTTCTTTTACACGTTCTCGTGGATCTACTATCTTGAGCACCAGGGAAGGTCGATCAGTATCCAACTCTTTCTTTAGACTTTCTACTGGTGAGCTCCACCCTGAAGAAGGGTAGAGAGAGGCATGCCATTTCTCAGGATTCCAGACACCATCACTGTCGTACTTTTCCGAGAGGCACGGAGGCCTCTGTTTGGAATGGGGGCGTTCTTTTATATCCAAGAGCTCCTCTTTTGTATAGCGATGAGGGGACTTGGAGGCCAGCAGCTTCTTCAAGTCAAGAAAAGCATCTCCATTTTCTGTTTCACCCACACTTCTCCTATCCATGGTTCCTTGGTCTAAAACTTTTTACACTGAAGGAGGCGGGCCAGAGGGAACCGGGAGGCCAAATCCCTGGCCTGGGCACTCTGAGCTGGAGCTGGAGCTGGAGCTGGAGCTGGCGCTGGCGCTGGCGCTGGCGTAGGCCCGCCACCATCTACCGCAGCCCGGGCCCAGCCAGTCTGCCTGCTGCCCGACTGCCACCCCGCGGACTTCTAGCCCCTGCCCGCCTACCGCGCCCCAGCACTCGCGCACGCGACCCCAGGAGCTCTAAGCACGGACTCCCAGACCCTACCGCCAGACCCTTACTCGATGCCTCCGCTGCACGGCGGTCCTTCCCCTCGGCCGCCGCTCCCCTCCCTGCCGCCCGCTCCTGTGCCACCGTTGCTCCCTGCGGCCTTTGCTCTTCCCCCTACCCCCCACCTGCTTGGGCTCTCTCTCTTCAGCCTCCGTAACTGAAGCCCGACCCCTCGCTCCTCCTCTCCCGCCCCCTTCTTAATAACTCCCTCCACGCCCCTGGGCCCAGGCGCCACCTTTGCCTCTGCCTGCCCGGATGTGAGGTGGCTGCAGAGGTGCTGGGCGGAAAAGAGGCTCTTTCCTTTTTCTGATAAGGTTGGCTAAGGGTTTGTCAATTTTGTTGATTCTTTCCAAGAAACAACTCTTGGCTTCACTGATTTTTTGTATCGTTCTCTTAGTCTCCATTGCATTGATTTCAGCTCTGACCTTTATAATTTCCTCCCTTGTATGAGCTTTGGGGTTGTCCTGTTCTTCTTTTTCTAGAAGCTTGAGGTGCAGCATCAGGTTGTTTAATTGGGCTCGTTCTGTTTCCCTAATATGCATATTCACTGCTATGAATT